TTTAGAATGATTAATCACAGAAACGTCTAAAAGAATGTAAGACTTTCTGCATGCATAAATCCCTTTATGATTAAAATACATTAAGACACACAGGCATAGCATAGAAAATATCTATTCTCATGAAATGATCTGTTTTTTAAGTTGTATTTACAACTTCCAAGTGATATAAAAATATAGCCATGACGAATGTATGTTTAAACATTGACTTGATAATTCTTAAAACGAATATATTTCAGTTTAACTTACAATATATAATAGTTACAGCCTGAGACCTTACAGGATATTCTATCCCAGTAGGTTTAAGAAAATTCAAAAACACAAAATGATATTAAGATGTAAGACGTAATTAAATATTCTCCATTGACTTCAACACATTTCAGACAATGTCATTGAACAGAGTGGGAAAAACGATTAACGTTATATACGACGTCTAGTAACAGATTTTTAATAATTCAACTTTTGTGCATTGTTTTTAAAAACAAAACATATATCTAGCGAATCTAATGTATTGAACATTGGAAACAGGTCTATTGTTTTAGAATAAAGTAAGCTGCTATTTTAAAAAAAAATGTACATATAAACAGAAACTGAAATGGTCGCTTGTTTTTCTTTTATTCTGTCTTTCATTGAAAAATCAGATCCATACTTTGTCAATAAATGCATCTTCTTAGAAACTTGCGTAAGTAATACATAAACAAATCTATACTTATGAAGTTCGTTATCTTAATGGATAACTCGTAAATTCTAGTTAATTTAATATCGGTGTCTGCCGACAAAAGCATAGAAATAATTTTCTCTTTCTATAAGCAGAGACTGATTAAATTTAAATGTGTTCAGTGACATTTAGAAAAATCTTTTGGTATAATGATTTTTCAACTGACACCTGCATCCGGCTTGGTAAAACATACTATGATTACCTCACTCCAGAAGAGTATCAATTCAAACATTGTAACAATATATATATATATATATATATATATAAGTTATGAAGAACTTGGTAATCCGTATGGGCAATCCCAAGAAGGATGAAATCCTGAGAGCTCAATGTAAATCCAGAGCTAATATTTAAAAGAAAAACAGACAGAGTACCATTGTAATAATTTATTTCACCAGAGCCCTTTTAAAGGACGCCGGATCATCAGATAGCACTTCCAAAAATGAAATGAAACGAAAAATGAAATTAAAATTGATGGGTAGTGTAAGTTTTTGTAATTTAACAGAGAGTGTAAGAGGGATAGTTAAAGAGACATGGTAGAGTATAGGGAGGGATTAATTTCATATCTCTCTCAAGTATACTTTATATTGGGGGAGGAGGAGTGACCAGACCTTGACCTATTTAGATGGTTAACTTAACGGAAGTGATATATAGAAATGGGAGGGGAGAAATATATATATATATATGCGTGTGCGTGTGTGTGTGTGTGTGTGTGTGTGTGTGTGTGTGTGTGTGTGTATACAAAAGGTTAAAAAGTTTCGGCCACCCTGCATTTTTATAAAAAACACGTTAAAATGAAATATGTTTGCAATTTTCTCGAAGTAAAGGATAAAATGTTTAGTGATTGCAGTGTATTTGCTATTATTTTGAAAAGGAATAAGCATTTAATTATAAAATGTTCTCATATAAGAGCATCATAATTTATTTTCTTCAATAAAACCGCCAATGGTCTGAATTACTGTTTTACTGATTCTTGGAATTCTTTTTTTAAGCATTATGCCCCGAGCAAGGCGTGAAGCCACTAGGATGCAGGGGGTTGCAGAAGATTAGGAGCAACAGCAGATAGGAGTGATAAAAGAAAGGATGATGAGAGGGATAGTGGATAGATCAAGGTAACTGGAGATGTCGACTGACATCACATTTGAATAGTAGGAGATCATAGCTCTCAGGGAAACAGTAATTGGGAAGGGTGTTCCACAGGCGAGAGGTGCGAGGTATGAAGCTATTGTAGTAGAAGAGACGGCTACATTTAAAAGTTTCTACAGTGTAAGGGTGGGGGTTGGATGCCAGCCTCGTAGGGCGCTTGAATTCATGGAGTCTGGGAACCAGTAAAAGCAGCTCATCGGAGCAATTACCATGAAAGTATTTATAGAAAAGACAGAGAGAGGCGACAGCGCGTCTGTGAGAGAGTGACTGTAGACGAGATGCAAGATCAGGGCCAATTATATTACATATCCGTCTCTGGATCTTGTCAAGAACTCCGAGGTAAACAGAAGGTGCCCCAGACCATATATGGCAGCAATCTTTCAATTTTTTTTCACACCTTCCTAAGCATTCTGAAAATCTCACACTTTTCCCTCTTTGGGGATTCTCTTCGAACTCTTCTCTCCAATTCATTCCATACTAATTCAATCATGACCATGTGATTGAGGCGACCAAATCATAATTTCCAAAACTGTGTTTCATTTTTAACTCGAGGTAATTTGGCATAATTTAGAAGAATGTTTTGGCTAATTGTCTTCTTGAAAGCTGATTTTTTTCATTTATACTTACACGAGCATAGCACACCTTTGAAAAATCGAATAAGTTTGTACTTTTTTCATGATTACCTTGACATGAATCAAATCTCCTGTCCTCTCTCCCCCAAACACCTCCAGATCCATAAAAGACTCACGACCATGCTTACATGTTGGAGCCATAAATTAATCATTCATTCTTTCATCTGGATTTCTTCTCACATAAAATTACTTTTTACTACCAGGAGGCTCAAATTTGGATTCGTCTGACCACAATAAGATTTTTCCCCATAACTACCTGCTTATTCAAAGTCCGATCAGGTTTTTCTTCATAGATGAGCAGACTCCACTGATCCAAGTTTATTTTTAAAATTTACAGCAACACTGGTTGTTGTCGAGAGGAATTAAGGATGCAGGGCAGTAATGGCACTAAGAGGCAAGGGGTTACTGAGAGAGTAAGAAACTCATAAAATGTTCACTATTTACATTATTCGGACTATTGTCCTGCTCTTTGTCGCCATATTTATTACAACGTTTCAACCGTTCTACGCTCCGGCCTTCTTCAGGTGCTTGGAATGTCGAACTGAACCCTTTATTTCGCTCACTGGGGTAGACTGTTCCCCGTACTATGTTTAATGGATGTTAGTTATCAGTTATCTCCTGTTAATTCCCCTTTCCAAGTTCTCCACCACCTTAACCAGGTATTGAATTCACACCCTTTGGGTCCTGTCTCTGGATTTAACTAACACTTTTATCCACTGTGCCATGTGTCCTTGAGAACATATGGCACAGATAACTGATGACTGACATCCATTAGACATGGCACGTGGAACTAGAACAGTCTATTCCAGTGAGCAAATTAGAGTTCAGTTAGAAATTCCAACCACCTGAAACGGCCGAAACGTTGTAATAAATATGGAGACAAAGATGAGGACAATAGTCCGAATAATGTATATAGTGCACATAATACGTCATCTCAGAAATATAGATAGATAATAAAACATTATTGAGAGAAAAGGGCACTAAAAGACAGCGACGATTTAAATTTCATTTAAATTTTTGAAGAATGCAGTTGAAATGTCCGGAGCATGGTCAAAAATCTGTTTTTGCCTCTATTAATCACCGGAAGGTGTCATGGTTTGGCTACGACATAACAGCATCTGCAACAACATCATCCAAGGCGGATGCAAGAACTAGTGAGACAATATCAAAGAGCCGACGGACATGACAATATTGGAACTACCACCACCAACAGATCCTCCTGCAGAAGGTTGCCTGTTTCTTTTGCCATTAGGGGAACCCCCACCCTGCCGACTATTGAAGAAGTAGTGGGACCGATGATGATGATGATGATGATAGGAATGCAAGAAGGTGAGAGATATTTGCACAGGTAGAAAGTGCGTGAGAAGAAACCATTAGAATGTTCTGCCTATGGCATTCATCTGTATAAGGACATTTTTGTCTCTTCAAGTCCCTTCTTCGTCTGTGAGCAAATGATCACGCTGACATATATAAGTTTAAATATTACATAGCAGTTTAGCATGTCTTTCTTTGTTTCGAATGAGATTATCCTAATCCATTATAATGTATCTAATAAAGAGTTCAAATTCCAAACTTTCAATATTTTCTCAAGTCATCAAATCAAACTCAAGATATCAGGATAAAATACACACAAAAATATGTCAGTAACTCAGCATAAATTCGGTTGCTTAGTCATAAGCATGTCTTCAAGATGAGAATAAATTTGAGGCGGACTTGATTTGGAGCAATGTACAATGACGGCATATACAATTACTTATATGTTGTCATGTTAACTTATTTTCATATTATTTTCAAAATCAGTATAACAATCAGGTAATGTATTTTGCATTTCCTGAGGATGGAGAAAGTTTCGAGGGAAACGCAACAGAGCTTCATAATGTCAGTTCCAACGAGGATATTTGGAACAGACGGACATTTTACCCAGACAAACACATTGAAAGAAAGAAATATGGAGATTGGCTCATGCCATGAACAATGTTATTTAACAACATGGATGCAGCTGACAAGGAAGCATTTTATCTTTATTCTTCCTAATTTAACGGTGAATCAGTTTGCAATCAAAGGAGATTCATAATTTTGATGAAAGCCATGACTGTTCTTTAGTTTCTTTAAAGAAAAATTCCCTTGTTTTGGATTTTTTCTCTCTGACATCGACTCGGCGATTGATTCGAGATCATTTTAAATGTTAATAATGTCAGTAAATCAATGATTATAATGTAGTTGCTGATATGATACCTCACGAATAATTCCTTTATGTACGGGTTTCTTCCTCTGTCAATCTGCTTCCTTTTGATTCAGGATCATTCTTAGACAATGAAAGCTTCTGACGTTGATGTTATAAAAAGCAAGTGTATCATCGTGAAAATGGTACAATATTCGCACGAAATAAAAAGTAGGCAAAATGTAGAATATCTCATTATATCTGGATGATAATTAATCGGTGGATTTAAATGAAAACAACGGAAATGTATGTTTCGAATGAGAGTATTCTCTTACCGACTAAAACAATGGTGCCTAATATGCCCACCAGTTCGGTGTATTATTATATAGTAATAATAAAAGCAATACAAACAATGACTTTAATAGCGAACAGATTTGAAAACAAGAGTGAATAAGTAGCTGAAAAACGGATTTTCCATAAACCTTTGCAGAAAGAGAATATTTAAATATCATTGTTCATTATCTATCTCAATCCGTTCATTATTATCTATCTATCTATCTATCTATCTATCTATCTATCTATCTATATATATATATATATATATATATATATATATATATATATATATATGTATACATATTTCAATCTGTTCATATCTATCTATTTCAATCTGTTCATATCTATCTCCGTCTGTTCATATCTATCTATCTATCTATCTATCTATCTATCTATCTATCTATCTATCTATTTCAATCTGTCCATACCTACCACAGTCTGTTCATATCTATCTATCTATCTATCTATCTATCTATCTATCTATCTATTTCAATCTGTCCATACCTATCACAGTCTGTTCATATCTATCTATCTATCTATCTATCTATCTATCTATCTATCTATCTATCTATCTCGCTCTTTCATAGTTTATCACCTTATTTTCAGAATCAACATATCAATTACTAAAATGTCAAGCAATAGATTTAGGAAAAATGGTTGAGTCTATAATTTCCGAGCACCAACTTGTAAAATTTTTATGTTTTTCGTTTTTTTTTCTCTTCCTTACTCTATTCATATTTTTGTTGTATTTTTGCATTTTTAAAGTAAAATCGACATCACCGTTGAATTTAGTTCCTTATAGCTAGTGTAGTCTCCACACTGGCTCGTACATCCGTTGTATTTTTAAATATAGAAAGATGTTCTGAGAAGACAAAAGTTTTATTCTTGTGCGCATCATATACACTACACGAGCATATACGCCTTTGAAAATATGCTCACCCAGCCTACGCGATATAAACTCGATCTTAGAGTGAACCTGATGAATTTCTATTTTTTTAATAATCATTTTGCCCTAAGCAAGGCGATAATGCCACTAATATTGAAGGGAGTGAAAGAGAATGCGAACATTTTAGGGATGAAAAACGACAATAAAAGAACAGGATTTAGAAAAACACAGAATATTACGATTGTCGTTGCATTTAAACAGGAAGATATATCAGAAGATATTTCTTAAAGACCTATCTCTCGCTTCCGCTTACTTTTTATCTCATTGTCCCTTTTAGGGTTTATTTCTATATTTCATTTACTCTTTACCATTTTCTTCTGTTTAATGCTTTTCTCTGTCTAGAATTTACTCTTTACATCTCTCTTTCTATTTACAGTTTACCTCTCTTCCGCTTCCTCGTTTTCAATCATCTCCCGTTTACTCTTTAACATTCATTTACTGTTTACCTCTCTCTTCATTTACTGTTTACCTCTCTCTTCCATTTCCTCTTTACCTCTCTCTTTCAATTTACAATTTACCTCTACCGTCTGTTTACGGCTCATCTTCAGCTTAATTATTCTTTATCATTCCCTTCTGTTAACTGTTTACCTCTCTATTCCATTTGTTTACCTCTCCCTTCTGTTTAAGGTTCATATTCCGCTTACTCTTTATCATTCATTTACTTTTTACCTCTCTCTTCCATTTTCTCTTTACCTCTCTCTTCCATTTTCTTTTTACCTCTCTCTTCCATTTACTCTTTACCTCTGTCTTTCTATTTACAGTTTACCTCTCCCTTCTGTTCACAATTCACCTTCCGCTTAAGCTTTATCATTCATTTAATCTTTCCATTTCCATTTTTTCTTCTGTTTACGCTTCATTTTCCGCTTACACTTTATCATTCTCTTCTATTTGCTCTTTACCTCTCTCTTCCATTTACTGTTTATCTCTCTCTCTCTCTCTCTCTTCCATTTACTATTTATCTCTCTCTTCCGTTTACGTTGTATCTCGCTCTTCCATTCACTACTTGTCCCTCTCTTCCATTTAGTGTTTATCTCTCATTTCCATTTTCTCTAACTCTCTCTTCCGTAATTCTCTGTTACACTTACTTTTTACCTCTCTCTTATATTTACTGTGTATCGCTCACTTTCATTTAGCTTTTATCTACCTCTCTCCTTTACTTCTTATCTCACTCTTTCCATTATCGTTTATCCCTCTCTTGCGTTTAATGTTTATCACTCTTTTCCGTTCACGGTTTTTCTTAACACTACATGTTTACAGCCTACTATTTGTTATGTCACTTTACATTAATATCGATGGTCACGTGTTTTCTCTGCGCATGATCAAGTCTCCACGCATGTTGTTTGCGAACATAATTACCATGTCAAGAAAAATAATATAATACACTTGATTATGATTTCTCTTTAAAATCTGCGACTCAGTCGCTGTCCAAATGTCGACGCCTGTACTTATAGCCATCTCGGAAATGACTATTTACCGAATTATTTACTACTAATAAAAGTCAAACGCTCTTATATATATATATATATATATATATATATATATATATATATATATATAACGTTTCAAAACATGAACACCGTTTTGTAACATGTTGTCACTTATGTCAGTTCCATCTTGGTTCAATAACATCGGGCATGACATTTTAATGGAATGACTATTACGTTTATTATGTTTATCTCTATATGTGTCATTGTGTATATTTATGTGATGCGCTATGTATTTATTTATTTTTTTTTATTTTTTATACGCCCAATTGTTTGAAAATGTTACTTATCTAGATTTTAAATTTTAATTTTTATATATATATATATATATATATATATATATATATATATATATATATATATATATATGTGTGTGTGTGTGTGTGTATGTATGTATGTGTGTATGTGTACATATATATATATATGGGTATATGTATATATATATATATATATATATATATATATATGTCTGTGTGTGTATGTGTGTATATATGTGTATATATGTAGGTGTGTGTATATAGGTATATGTATGTGTATGTATGGATGTACATGTATGTGTATATATGTATATTTATGTATACGTATATGGATGTATATATATGTAGATGGATGGATATATATGTAGATGGATGTATATGGTGATGAGTGTATATATGTGTGTGTATGTTTTGGTATGTATGTACTCATATATATTTGTATATGGGTGAATATGTACGTATATATGTATGTATGTATAGTTAGAGGGATAGATACAGAGATACATTGTTTATTTGTTTAAATGGGTGTATGTAATTGTATAGAAATGTAAGGTTTTAAGTATATATGTTTATGTACACGTATGCATATGTCCGTATGTATATATGTGGGTAAATGTGTGTATATATATGAAGTACTAGATGTAGATGGATGTCTTATTCTGATCCTCAACATTAAATAGTCTATGGTGTGTGTATGTCAACACGAAATGTATCTTTATGCATTAGACATCCGACAACCTTTATTTTTCTCTTACTTAAACCCCTTCCACTCACCTCTCCTAAAATTCTCTCTGTTAAGGATTGATCTCCCTCCTTCTCATAATTACACTCTCTCTAAATTCTGTTTTTATTTCCGGAGTTGTTTTTTCTGTTTTCTTTTTGAATTTGTAGGTCTGATGAATTGGATCGTATTTACGAATCCAATGGAATAAATTATGACCATGGAATATTAGTGTTTAAGCCTTTTTTTTATATATATATATATATATATATATATATATATATATATATATATATATATGTGTGTGTGTGTGTGTGTGTGTGTGTGTGTGTGTGTGTGTACGTGAAGTAGTTAATGAGTCTATAATGTGTGATGAGGTCTTAACACTTCTGTAAAGAACCGTGCCAGACAAGTTATGATCAAAAGACTTTTTTCAGTTCTCTAACCAGCAACGGATTGCTGTCCACAGTGGAGAAAAACTGCGATGGAACTTATTAAATCAGTAAATTGGTTTGGCGCAATGTCTCGGCGCTAAGTAATTTGGGTTTGCACCAACGATCTTTATGATTATTTATGTCTTTGCTTGACTCTAAGTGTCACGTCTTTCTTCAAAAGGAAAGAAACACATAAATGTATGCGTCTTAGATATCAATGTCAATTGAATTTAGCAATGCGATGTTGAGTGTGAAGGGAGTCACAATTACCAGGTTGAAATAAACTAAATTTAGTCGTCTTGTTTGATTTAGTTGACAAAAATGGAAGTAAAATTAAAAAGAAACAGCAATACTCATTCATGATATATATATATATATATATATATATATATATATATATATATATATATATATAGTACAGGTAATAAATGCGTTGTATATAATCCAAGTGGATCCTAGTAATATCAAATATAAAACTGAACCACAAAAAGAACCAAATGTATTTATTATAACAGTTCATATAAATTAAACAACTAAATCCCAAATTACCTCAAATGGGAGAGGATTTAGATCTATTTCAATCGTCTGTACAGCGTACAATCTATACACCAAGGTGGAATAAGACTGATATATATATATATATATATATATATATATATATATATATATATATATATATATATATATGAATGAATACTCTTTAAATGGTGATCAGATTGTTATGGTTTGGGATAAAGGTATGTGCTGTACATCTTCAAAAATTGAAACTAATTTAGTCTAGAACAGGTATTTATGACGAATATATATTTTTATCAAGCTCGAATCTTTAGAATTTGACGTATTGTTTTCTCATATTGTAGACTCCAGTAATATAAAGATGGAAAATGATGAAAGCATAAGAAAGATAAAAGGAAAAGCATGGAGGCTGGGTATCGAGAAATATTGCACGAAAATTTGAAAGATATGTAAATGTGCAAAAAATGTAAAAGATTGTGAAGAGGTAGAACAAAATGATGAAAAGGAGGATGAAATTTAAGGTATTCTTTGTTTTTTTGTAGCATTTGAGTTACTTTTAGGTTGGTATAACATTTTGCAAAGAAACATGGACTGTCAGCGACAACTGTAGTGAATAAAAAGAGACAATGAGAGATGGTCTGAAAATGGGGAAAGAAGAGTCGAAGCGTAGGGATGTTATTGCCGAGGAAGGCCAGAAAATAGATTGGTTAAAATTAAAAATCTGGTTACAGAAACAGAAAAAAGTTTACACCAGTGCGCTGAATAACTCTTGAAATGATAATGGCAGCTCTAAAAGTCACAGAATGTATAACAATATCTTATTGTTTTATGTTGAGCGGTCCACCCTTTTTTAAACAAATGGACTCACCCAGTGTATACTTATACTACTGCCAGTGAATATCCGGGGAGCCAGACCGAAGAGTCGAGTCCAGAGTGAGAGAGTAAATGGTTGTAGGTAACCGGAAGAGTGAGGGGTGAGGTAACAACGTTGTAGGAGTCACAGTGAGCGAGCACGTAGACTCAGTAAGAAGTCATACAGCGATACTTCAATACCTGTATATATATATTTTGCTACTAACACGTATTCCTGGAACTACTAACCTGCTTTACCAGTTTCTATTATTACGTTTATACATTATTTTCCTATATTCATTCTTGGCGTTTGCTATTTATTGGTACCGGATTTCATCCCGGAATCCACAACATTTTACTTATTTCCAACGTTGCAGCACGTGGTCTTAAAACTGCCGACGTGTTACCATTTTTTAAAACTTTCGCGCCAATCAATGTAATAATGATACTAAATTGTAAGACTCAGAGGGAAAGGAAATGAGAAAACATTAGTGAACGGTATTCAGAACGATAGAAGATCGTGATTGAACTTTCATTTAAATTTTTGATGGTCGTATTGGTCAGTCCACAACTGAAAAACGCAGAAGAAGAAACTATTAGTATAGAACTCACAGTTGCATCTAGCTATTTAAACAGTAAAATGGTGAGACCTACACATTAGAACACTTGCTATGAAATAGCTAAAAACGGTACAGAGACGCTACGTTATGGTGTCTGAAGCTGAGATGCCTGATCATGACCGATAGCATTAGAAATTCTTTGCATTTAGCATTCGTGACCTCTTTCTTATTTTATACCAATTCGCAATCTATATCGTCCAGCACAAATTATTTATATGAATTTCGCTTTTGATAAACCCTTCGAGTGTTTAAAACAAGATCTTGATAAATTAATAAACTCTCTTAAGTATCTATTAAGATGTTGAGACTCTCTGGTGCGTTAAGTAAGAGAAAAACTGTGGTATAAAAGCTAAGTGTTTACTTGCGAAAGCAAAGCATATATCCGATGGGTATGTTTCGCAATCGATCCACAGAACAGAAATAAATAAAATGACCGAAGCACACGGTCAAATATTCCCCACTTCATAAATCGTCGAAGTTAACGTTTCAGTGAATAGGTTTCCCTTAATTAGCACACTGTACGTAGAAATCAAACGCCCGAAGCTACTAGAAGGAGTCAGACTCTGGTTATGTTGTAAAGCATGTTCAACACTATTCTAATGATTATTACAATTTGTTTTTGTTTTTCTTGTACTTTCACTAATTGCCAACAACTGACTGCAGACACAGGCAGATACATATGGATACAAGTAAATTGTGGTAAATATAATGACTGAATTTTCCCTTAGGTATTGTGGATAAAGATTAAATAGCGAAATATTTCTCTGTTAGTGAATTTGAAGATGATGAAAAATAGCCTATTTACAATCGCCTCAAAAAAACAAGGGAGATTACTATGAAGAAAGGATTGAATATACACATGTAATAAGGTAATTCTGGTTATTTCTTCAATCTATAGTTATATATACTAGCAAATATCGAATTAAATGATACTGAAGAAGGCTGTTCATTGTTACTTTTATAGAATCTATCTATCTATCTATCTATCTATTGCTGTACAAAACTATGCAAATTCCATGCACTAGTAAATCACCTCTCATAAACGTGGGATTCATTATCATAAAACTCCCTGTATTTAATGGTTACGAGATAAATAATTAGACATTCAATATTCATAGAAAAAGGACGGGAAAGGAAAAAATTAAGCATTAAATTGTGGCAACTATTTATATTATCATCCTGGTTCGATATTATTTAAATACTTACTTGTTTTCTATGTTTATATGAAATCATTACTTCATTTATTTTA